AAAGCCTTCGACAATACATCTTTATTATTGACTTGGAGGAGGGTCTTGAAGGGATGCAGATCAAGTTTGCAGTGACTCCAACTTCAAACTCTTTGGCTGCTGCTGGAATCGCGGTCTCTTATGTAAAGCTAAGGGAAACTTTTGAAGATGTGATTCGAGAAACAAAAGTGCCTTTCAAAACAAGCATTTCAAGTGTTGTCTTTAGGAAAAGGTCACGAAAATGTACTCAAAAGTGTCAAACCATATTGTAGAGCTTGAAGGTTGTTGGGATGTATTTGAAAGTGGTTTGCCATCTTCCTGGAGTGGAAGCATTGTAATTTCCTGAAAGTGCAATCTTTGCAGGGGGGATAGAAAAACCAAATGGGGTTTAGGGGTTTGTTATTTATGGAAATACCACAAAGCAACCTGGAGCTTTTAAAACAGTGAAGACGAGGCTGACATTTGGAGATGCAAAGAAAAAGCAGATTCTAATGGATGGCTTTTGACATTGGTTCCCCTCCCCCAAAAGATTTATAGTTCAGTAATAAATTACAAATAAATATATGATTTCTTATTTTTATTAAAAACTTTTTCTGGACGCCCAAAGTTGTGAAATTCCAAAGATTTAGAGCAGGAATTCTCAAACTTTTTCAGCTGCAGAGCCTTTTGGAAGGAAAAGTTTTTCATGGAGCCCCAAGAAATATTTTTATATTATTTAATACAGGGTGCAGCAGCATAACTTCCTTTTTTCAAAACTTAATAAAACCCATTGTATGAATCAGAATTTTTTATATAATGTAGATGCATACCTAAAGTTTTGTTTTACGTAGTTTTGAAGATCAAATTAGGTAGGTGACGTCCCCCAATCTCCATTCTTCGTACACTGAGTAAACCGATTTCTGGCGTTTGTCATGACTCTTGCCAGCATAGCAGGCATTATGTTGGCAATTTCTTCATGGATGTTGGTTTTCAAATCTTGTAGGGTCCTTGGACACTTCACATAAACACGGGATTTCAAAAAACCCCATAGAAAAATATCACAAGGGGCCAAATCTGGAGAGCGGGTCGACGACACCAAATCCCCCCTAATTGAGATGAGGCGCTCTGGGAAGTGTTCCCTCAAAACAGCCACCAATGCTCTTGAAGTGTGTGCAGTTGCACCGTCTTGTTGGAACCAAATGTCCCCTAAGTCCAACCCAAAAATTCCTGTAACATGTTTACATACCGGTCTGAATTCACTGTTACTGCGACTTCATTTTCCTCAAAGAACCAGGGACCAATAATTCCAGCTGAGGAAATTGCACACTACACTGTGATTTTAGGTGAATGCAAAGGCCTTTGATGCAATTCTCGAGATTGTTGTCAGCCCAGAAGTGCATGTTTTGTTTGTTGACGGATCCACACAAATGAAAATGGGCTACATCGCTAAAAAAACCAATAGCGTCCTCAGGAACGACTTTGAGAAGAACCTCACACGCGTTCCTCCGAGAATTGAAGTCACGTTCAGAAAGTTCCTGCACAATTGCCATCTTGTAAGGATGGAAATGAAGATGACCATGAAGAATTCTCCTCATAGAACGATCGGAAAGTCCAAGGGCAGACGCATGTTTGCGTGCAGAACGCCGTGCTGATCGCAACATTGAAGCTCTCACTGCCTCAATGTTCTCAGGTGATCTAATGGGCCGAGGGACTCCAGTTCTTCGTCTTGTCGCACTTGCAGTTTGTCTGAATGTAGTGACCCACGTCACAATTGATTTCCGGTCCGGGACAGGGGCCAATGGGGCTAAATTAAAGCGATTCCGAAAGGCGCGCTGGGTTGCGATCATAGAACATCCGCTCGAAAAGTAGGCCTCAACGGCAAAAGCACGCTCCTCACTGTTCCAACTCACGATGGCAACTGAACTGTGTCAGGACAAAACTTTATACTCCCGCCTCTTGAACGAGACCACTAGCGCTCCGCTACGTCTTCAACCGACTGAATGGCGCGCATTTTAAAAAAGGAAGTTATGCTGCTTCACCCTGTATATGGTAACAGTGCTATATTTCTTACGTTTACTCTTTTCATTCCTATCCAGCTCATGGAGAAAGTCACTCCAAAGAGAGAGCCTCCCGCAATGGATGACCTTGATGTAAGTACTCAGGAGGTGATAGAGGAATTATATACATTCAGAATTTGGAAATGTTATTTGGACTACAAATCTGAGGCCCCTTCTACATTGCCATATAATCCAAGACCCTTCCAGACAGACCCTATATCCCAAGATCAATTCCTGATTTTCTGTTTTAAACTGGATTATATGTCCACACTGTCAGATAATCTGGGATAAACAGAAAACCTGGGATCAGATCCTGACATTTAGAGCCTGTCTGGAAGGGACCCCAGATTATTAAATCAGATATTCCAGATTATCTGCTTTGAACTGGATTATATGAGTCTACACTGCCATATAATCTAGTTCAAAGCAGATAATACGGATTTTGTATGGCAGTGTAGAAGGGGCCTGAGGCTGGATCTACACTGCCATATAATCCATAATATATATATTCTCAGTGGTGGCCCCTCGACTATGGAATGCCCTTCCTACAGATATTAGATTGGCCCCCTCCCTGTTGACATTTCAGAGGAAAGTGAAGACCTGGTTGTTCGAGCAGGCATTTGAATAGGCAGTGTAATGAACATAGGAATATGGAACAAATGGACAATGAGACTGGATCTTGATTTTAACTATGAGACGCTAATGAGATGTTTTATTGATTTATATTGACTGTTTACTATGCTACTGTTTTAATTGTTTTTATCTGTTTTATGATGATTTTGAGCATTCAATTTTGCTATTGTTAACCGCTCTGAGTCGCCCCAGGGCTGAGAAGAGTGGTATACAAATATAGTAAAATAAATAAATAAATAAATAATCTGCCTTGAACTGCATTCGGTGAGCAACCTGGCCTTGAACTGCCTTGAATAATAATCTGCCTTGAACTGTCTACACTACCATATAATCCAGTTCAAATGAGATAAAATGGATTTTATATAGCTGTGTGGATTCTGCCTTAGGCCCCTTCCACACAGCTGTACAAAATCCACATCAAAATGGATAATATGGCAGTGTAGACTCAGAAAACCCAGATCAAAGCAGATATTGTGGATTATATGGGTTATATGGCTGTGTGGAAGGGCCCTCAGTCCCCAACCACAGTAGCTAGGAAAATCTTGAGAGTTGTAGCCCCAACAGCTCCGAGGTTTTTTCAAACTCATATGTAAATTAGGTGAGATGGACAAAATGACCACTCAATTGTATAAAATCCACATAGAACTAGATTATATGGCAGTGTGGATTCAGATAATCCAGTTCAAAGTAGATATTGTGGATTATCTGCTTTGAAATTCTGGGTTATGTGGCTATGTGTAAGGGCCCTAAGACATTATGTGGGTAATTTAAGATTCTTTAAAATCCTTACTTTGCTGAGGAGCAACACCCTTGCAGCATTTGGAAAATTTGGTGGTCTTTCCAGAAAAAAATAATCTTTCTCTCTCTGCTGTTGCTTCTTCTAGGATGACATCTGAAAAGACACAAGTCCCAAAGGTATGTTTTACAACACCTAAAATATGAGGTGGAATTTCTAGATATATGTAAAATCAAGGGAGTTGAGATTCACCCCCCCACTCCCTTAAAGAGCTGGTAAAATGGAACTGACGCTGAATTTACCCTGTCATGATAGTGGTTGAGGTTTTCCTGTTGTTTTTCCACAATGTGACTGTCACCTGGAATGGAGACATCAATAATCCAGATTTTTTTCTTTTCCACAATCGTGATGTCTGGTGTATTGTGTTCCAAAACTTTGTCAGTCTGGATTCGAAAGTCCCACAGTATTTTTGCATGTTCATTTTCCACGACCTTTGCAGGTTTATGATCCCACCAATTCTTTACTGCTGGCAGGTGGTACTTGTGACATAAGTTCCAGTGAATCATCTGGGCCACAGAGTTGTGCCTTTGTTTGTAGTCCGTCTGTGCGATTTTCTTGCAACAACTGAGGATATGGCACATGGTTTCATTAGCTTCCTTGCACAGTCTGCATTTTGGGTCATCTGCTGATTTTTCAATCCTGGCCTTAATTGCATTGGTTCTGGTGGTTTTATTATTATGATTATTATTTTATATTGGTATTATTATTATTATTATTTTATATTATTGTTGTTGTTGTTATTATTATTATTATTATTATTATTATTATTATTATTATTATACAGCAGTGTGAAAGGGGCCTTTGCCTTCATCCCGATTATGAGATCGTCTAAATTCTGTGATTATATTTTCTACTTGTCCAGATACAACAACAGCACAAGATGAAGAGAAAGGATGCAATGGAGAAAGTGTCAAGTTAATGCAACCTCAGGATATTCAGACGTCACTGCTTTTGTCCAAGATGCAACGCAAGGATTGCTAGTGCGAACCTTACATGGCAACTCTCTTCCCTGAGATTCTTATGTTGGGTGGCAATGTAGTGGGCACACTCTTGACTTAAAGTAGGGGTAAATATCAAGGCGGATAATCCATAGTATGTGCTTTGAACTGGATTATCTGAGTCCGCATTGCCCTATAACCCAGTTCAATGTAGATTTTATACAGCTGTGTGGAATGGGCCTTAGGTATAACCCTCCACATTTAACTCAACTGCTATTCTCAGGATTTTTCATTGCTGGCTATGATGTCCATGCCTGCTGCGAACTACAGTTCAGCAACATCTGATAAGATGCGTTTTACCCACTCCAGCCTACAACACAACACTGCCTCTTTCTTTTCTCATTTTGCTTTCTACCTAAACTTCTCTAACCTATTTCCTTCTCCCTCCCTTTTCCATTCCCTTGTTTCATTCTGTAGGGCTACCTGAGCCCCAGGAATGATGTACGTAATAGAATTTAAACTTCTGCCAATAAATAATGACAATACCTCTGACCATTTTGTTGGCTTTATGTTTAATCCTGGTGATCAATGTAAACTAAAAGCAAAAACACAAAGAGATGCTCACTGCTAAACAGAGAGCCCTTGCAAAGAGCTATATAGCCCAGAATATCAAGGCAGAAAATTTCACAATATCTGCTTTGAACGCGGTTATCTGAGTCCACACTGCCATATATTCCAGTTCAAAGCAGATAATTGGGATTTTATTCAGCTGTGTAGAATGGGCCTCAGACATTGGAAATTCTGACTTTTTCTTCAGTCCTAGGCCCTTTCTACACTGCCATACTGTATAATCCAGGTTATCAAATCAGATAATCCACATCAACTATTTTGAACTGGAATATATGAGTCTACACTGCCATATAATTCAGTTCAAAGTAGATAATGTGGATTTTATATTTATTTATTTACGATATTTATAGCCCGCCTTTCTCAGCCATACGGCGACTCAAGGCAGGTTACAGATTGGCACAATTTCGATGTCAGGCATTCATAAAAGTGCCATTAAAAACAATCAACATTACAATATAAAACATAAATAAAAACCGTTAAAGCATACAATCATCAGTGTCATCTTGTTAAAAACGAATCGTCTGGCCATTCCATGTTCACCGTTCATAGTTCCGTGTTATCTATTCTGCTGCATTCTCAAAAGCTTGCTCAAAGACCCAGGTCTTTACTTTTTTGCAAAGTCATGAGGGAGGGCGACGATCTAATATCCCTGGGGAGGGAGTTCCATAGCTGGGAGACCACCACTGAGAAGGCCCTGTCCTTCATCTCTGCCAATCGCACTTGTGAGGCAGGCAGGATTGAGAGCAGGGCCTCCCCAGACAATCTTAAGTTCCTAGATGATTCATAGGAAGAGATACATTCGGATAGGTTAGCTGGGCCAGAATCATTTAGGGCTTTATAGGCTAAAACCAACACTTTGAATTGAGCTCGGTAGCAAATTGGCAGCCAGTGGAAGTGGCTATGTGTCAGTGTAGAAGGGCCCTAAGTGTTCCTGTATGCCGGGGGTTGGACTGGGTGGCCTTTGTGGTTTCTTCCAACACTATGATTTTATGAAATCTCACATAAAGTTCAAGGTGGCAGACATTTCTCTTCTAACACCCTGATCAGACAGGTTGGGTGGAGAGTTCTGAATCCTATGGATATTGTAAGACATGAGTATGCTGTTGAAAGAACATTGTCCTTAGACATGAGTGACCATCACTCATAAAAACATTGAAAAACACAGCAGAAGAGACTTTTAAAGCCAAAAAACAAAACAAAAAAAACATTACAACTCATATCCACAAATATATACACACATATATTGGGAAAATAGACATAGTTATCGTTACTGGGATTTAAAGTTCCATCTACAATCAAAGAGCATTCTGAACCCCACCAACTAGAGAATTGAACCAAACTTCCCATACAGAACCCCCATGACCAACAGAAAATACTTAAGGCCATCCAGTCCAACTCCCTTCACCAGGGCAAGAAAATGTAATCAAAGCCCTCCTGACAAAGAGCCATCCAGCCATAGATTAGATAGATAGATAGATATGATTCATACACAGAGAGATATAGTATCATAGATTTGAAAGGGACCCCTAAAGAAGGACATGATCATCAAGTTTGCAGACGACACCAAATTGGGAGGGATAGCCAATACTCCAGAGGACAGGAGCAGGATTCAAAACGATCTTGACAGATTAGAGAGATGGGCCAAAACTAACAAAATGAAGTTCAACAGGGACAAATGCAAGATACTCCACTTAGGCAGGAAAAACGAAATGCAAAGATACAGAATGGGGCCAATGCCTGGCTCGAGAGCAGTACGTGTGAAAAAGATCTTGGAGTCCTCGTGGACAACAAGTTAAACATGAGCCAACAATGTGATGTGGCGGCAAAAAAAGCCAATGGGATTTTGGCCTGCATCAAGAGAAGCATAGTGTCTAGATCTAGGGAAGTCATGAGTGAGATTTTGGCCTGCATCAATAGGAGCATAGTGTCTAGATCTAGGGAAGTAATGCTCCCCCTCTATTCTGCTTTGGTTAGACCACACCTGGAATATTGTGTCCAATTCTGGGCACCACAATTCAAGAGAGATATTGACAAGCTGGAATGTGTCCAGAGGAGGGCGACGAAAATGATCAAGGGTCTGGAGAACAAGCCCTATGAGGAGCGGCTTAAGGAGCTGGGCATGTTTAGCCTGAAGAAGAGAAGGCTGAGAGGAGATATGATAGCCATGTATAAATATGTGAGAGGAAGCCACAGGGAGGAGGGAGCAAGCTTGTTTTCTGCTTCCCTGGAGACTAGGACGGGAAACAATGGCTACAAGAGAGAAGATTCCATCTGAACACGAGAAGAACTTCCTGACTGTGAGAGCCGTTCAGCAGTGGAACTCTCTGCCCCAGAGTGTGGTGGAGGCTCCTTCTTTGGAAGCTTTTAAACAGAGGCTGGATGGCCATCTGTCAGGGGTGATTTGAATGCAATATTCCTGCTTCTTGGCAGGGGGTTGGACTGGATGGCCCATGAGATCTTTTCCAACTCTTTGATTCTATGATTCTATGATTTCTATATGTTGCATGTTCTAGAGTAGGCAAACCAGACAATCTCCACATCAACACTGACAAAGAAACAGCAAGAAATACTGTTTACCCACAAGCATAAGAAATTACATATATTAGAAACCAACACTTTCTCATTACTTTATTTTCCAGATCACCAGACTGGGCCACAGCAATGCGTGGCAGGGGACGGCTAGTTTATATATAAAGACATAGTAAAAAGGATTCCCTTATATTAAAATCAAACTTTTTTTGGACTTTTTAGTGGGGATATTTTCAATCCCTGGAGAGTGCAGAATCTGTGGATAAGGGGGTGCATGATATCAAAGTGATATCACTTTGGTTGCTAGGTCCAAGGCGATGGAATCATGGGAGTTGTAGTTTTACAAGGTCTTGTGCCTTCTTTGCTAAAGACTGCTGGTGCCTCACCAAACTACTGATCTCAAGATCCCATATTATAGAAGAGCCGTCCAAAGTATACTGCAGGACTGCAAGACAGCCTTTGCTTACATTCGATTGTGATCAACTCCTTCGAGCTTTGCCCCTTTGGTGAAGCGAAAGGAAGACAGCTGGCCAATCACAAGATAATTCTGTCCCTCACTGGCCGCCGTAGGCCGGGCGGAAGAAGCCAAGCAGCGTTGCTATTCGCCTTTGCTGAAACAAGACTTGCCGGGCAATTCTTCCCATTTGAATCATGGCGTTCAAGTGCCAGAGGGATTGCTGGCTCCAGCAGGTGAGGAAAGAAGGGAACGAGGACCCTTATTGATACTATTATTAGATGCATGCCAAATATAGAAATGATGGGCTGTGTAAGAAGGAGGAAGGGAGGGAAGGGGACAAATATAAGGAGCATCTACACTGTATAATTCATTCATTTTGATACCATTGTAACTACCATGGCTCAGTGCTATGGGATCCTGGGTTTTGTAGCTTGGTGAGGCACCAGCACTCTTTGATATAGAAAACCGATGACCTTGTAAAACTACAACTCCCAGGATTCCATAGCATTGAGCCCTGGTAGTTAAAGTGATATCAAACTGCATTAATTCTACAGTGTAGAAGCACCCTTAGAAGCATGCTGGATCTTCTCATCCTCAAGCAATTGTTCAGCATCTTTGGCGCTTTCTACACTGCCATATAAAATCCAGATGATCTGTTTTGAACTGGATTATATAGCAGTGTAGACTCATATAATCCAGTTCAAAGCAGATGATGTGGATTATCTGATTTGATACTTTGTACTCTATGATAGTGTAGAAGGGCTCTCAGATAATCCAATTTAAAGCAGAAAATGTGGATTATCTGATTTGAACTGAATTATATGAGTCTACACTGCCATATAGGAGCCCCCAGTGGCGCAGTGCGTTAAAGCGCTGAGCTGCTGAGCTTGTTGACTGAAAGGTTGAAGGTTTGATTCCGGGGAGCAGTGTGAGCTTCCGCTGTCAGCCCTAGCTTCTGCCAACCTAGCAGTTCAACCTAGCATGGTGCGAGACGTCTTTTGCCTGGCCAAAGAAAATGCCCCTGCCATCATCTTCATTGATGAAATTGATGCCATTGCCACCAAGCGCTTTGATGCCCAGACTGGAGCTGATAGAGAGGTTCAGCGCATCCTCCTGGAGCTACTCAACCAGATGGATGGCTTTGACCAAAACGTTAATGTCAAGGTGATAATGGCCACAAATCGAGCAGATACCCTGGACCCTGCTCTACTACGACCAGGTCGCCTTGACCGTAAGTTTGAGTTTCCCCTTCTGGATCGACGTCAGAAATGATTGATCTTCTCCACCATCACTAGCAAGATGAACCTGTCTGAGGAGGTGGATCTAGAAGACTATGTGGCCCGGCCAGATAAGATCTCTGGTGCTGACATCAACTCCATCTGCCAGGAGGCTGGGATGCTTGCTGTCCGGGAAAATCGCTACATCGTTCTGGCCAAGGATTTTGAGAAGGCCTACAAGACTGTCATAAAAAAGGATGAACAGGAGCATGAATTCTACAAATAAAGATGGGGAAAGGGGGGAAAAAACATGCAAATGTGAGTAGATCAATAGGTACTATTCCGGCGGGAAGGTAACTGCGCTTCATGCAGTCATGCCAGCCACATGATCTTGGAGGTGTCTATGGACAAAGCTGTCTCTTCGACTTAGAAATGGAGATGAGCACCACACCTCAGAGTCAGACATAACTGGACTTAATGTCAGGGGACAACCTTTACCTTACACTGCCATATAATCCAGTTCAAAGTAAATAACCGGGACTGTGGCGCAGCTGGCTGGGAGTCAGCTGCATTAAGATCACTACTGACCGAAAGGTCATGAGTTCAAAGCCAGCCCAGGTCGGAGTGAGCTTCTGACCAATTTGTGTAGCTTGCTGTCAACCTTTGCAGCCTGAAAGACAGTTGCATCTGTCAAGCACTGGCTTCCGATTGAGTACTGGATTACTTTCAAGGTGCTGGTACTAACCTTTAAGGCCTTATATGGTCTGGGGCCGGCGTACCTGAGGGCCCGCTTATCCCCCTACCAACCCCAGAGATTACTTCGGTCCGAAGACCAAAATTTGCTTGAAGTCCCCAACATCCGGACTTACCATCTGTCCTCTACTAGGCAGAGAGCCTTCTCGATTGTGGCCCCTTATTTATGGAATGCCTTGCCAGTTGAAATCCGAACCATCCGAGAGCTACTTGCTTTTCGGAAAGCCTGTAAAACCTTTCTTTTCCGACAAGCTTTCGATGGGTGAATAACTCGGGACTATGTCTGTTCTCGTTTTTATTGTATTTTAAAGTTGGTTGTATTGTTTTAATCTACTGCTGTAAACCGCTCCGAGCCAAATTGGGAGTGGTCGCTCCTGACTTGACAAAAAAATAATCTGTCAAGTAGGAAATTTAGGTACCGCCTACGCGGGGAGGCTAATTTAACTAATTTATGATGCCATAAAAATCTCCAGCAAGCCTGCAAAGAATGAGGAAGTACTTCATCAGTGTCACAAATGGATGGTGAAGCAACAGCTCCCTGGTGGCCAGAATACCCTCATGAAAAGTTGGAATGTTAAATTGCCTCTGTGTCTGTCTATATATGTTGTGTGTCTATGGCATTGAATGTTTGCCATGTATATGTACATTGTAATCCGCCCTGAGTCCCCTGCAGGGTGAGAAGGGCAGAGCATAAATACTGTAAATAAATAAATAGTGTGGATTATCATCTTTGAAAATCTGGATTACATGGCAGTGTAGAAGGGGCCTCTGCTAATCTCTGCACCTCTCTCAAGCAATTGGCAAATAAACAAAAAAAAAAAACCCAACAACAACAAAAAATCCCTAAAAATCACAGTCTGCTATTTTTATGATACAGTGAAATGGTTATATTGAATTTGTCTTAATTTGCTCATAATTAGTTTACTTAAATATTAATATCTATACAGAGTTTGTGGTATGGTATAGCATGTGGTATAGTATTAGGCTGGATCTACACTGCCCTATATCCCAGGATCTGATCCCAGATTATCTGCTTTGAATTTGAGTATATGAGTCTACATTGCCAGATAATCTGGGATAAGAAATTAATCTAGGATTAGATCCTGGAATATAGGTCAGTGTGGAAGGGACCCAATTAGACCTAGGTCCCTTCTACACTGCCATATAATCCAGATTATCAAAGCAGATAATCCATATTATCCGCTTTGAACTGGATTATCTAAGGTCCCTTCCACACTGGATTATCTAAGGTCCCTTATCTGCTTTGAACTTGGATATATGGCAGTATGGACTCAAATAACCCAGTTCAAAGCCAATATTGTGGGTTATTCTACCTTGATATTCTGGGTTATATGTCTGTGTGGAAGGGCCCACCATATCTGAGTGTGGACTCAGATAACCCAGTTCAAAGCAGATGTTGTGGGATTTTCTACCTTGATATTCTGGGATATAGGGCTGTGTGGAAGGGCCCTGAGTCTACCCTGCCATATACCGTAATCCAGTTCAAAATATGATAATATAGAAGGGACCATACTGCATAAAAGCGTGGGGTGACCCGTAGATACGATACTGTAACAATACAGAGGGGACACACAATCGATGACCGGATGTAAGTAATCCAGGAAGGGTTGGAGAAAGGAATACACAGGAAATAATCAAACGTCGTACGGAAGAGATAACAAGGTAAAGCAAATGGTCTAAGTTATAATGAGTATAGGCATGAAAGCGACAATAAGGGTATGGAAAGGAGTAAAAACCGGACTAAAGACTTACAATCTGACGTTTATATAACATGATGATGTCACTCAACATATCTGAAAGTCTGAAACAAAGGGGAGTCATCAGAAAAAGGAAAGAAAAGAAGAAAAAAAGGAAAAGAAGAAGGAAAGAGAAGAAAGGGAGAGAAGGAAAGGGGGGAGGAAGAAGGAAAAAGAAAGAGGGGGAAAGGGAAGAGAAAGGAAGAAGGAGGGGAAGAAGATGAATTACCACTTATACATGCTAATGAACAGAAATACTATGGCCAGGGCAGTAATGAAATAAAGAACGTCTTGTAGCGTCCAGTACAGAAGTACAACGAATAGAAGTCAATGGTCGGTGAATGCAGGATACGTGTATGGCATGAGGGAAGTGGCAGGAGAGAGAATAGAACGCGAGACCATAACAACGAGCAAAAGGCCAAGAAACATGACATGTATGAGTCGTGGGAATATGACATCAGCTGAAGACCGTTATAAGAAGTCAGATAACGGGAAAGATAACAGGAAGACGAGGTCTAACTGTATAGGGTAGCAATCTACAGTTGCTAAACAACAAATAAATACGAGAGAGGGTGCAACGAGTGTTTCTTGTTAAAGACAATAAGGAGACTATACCGAATGATTTGGTAAATGAGTTCGACGAACAATATAGAGAGTGACGACGATTTCGCGGAGATCACAGATGCACATTTCCTCTCCTTTTTCCTCCCCAGTTTACAACGCGAGTGGTGTCATGCTGCCCTGCAGAATTATCCACAGAAACCGGTGGAAAGAAGGAAAGACTACAAGGATACCATGTCGTCCTGGAAGACACAATTCTTTTCCCAGAAGGTGGAGGACAGGTAATACTTATTGTTCTTGCTCAGATTTATGATGGAATGTGTTTGATGAGCTTTAACATAATAATAATAATAATAATAATAATAATAATAATAATAATAACAACAACAACAACAACAACAACAACAACAACAACAACAACCCACATCTTCTTTTAAGGTGGGGTACAACATGGCTAAAACAGAGACACTAAACACAAGACTGTTGAAATAAATATGACAAGATACACACAATTATAATCCAGGTTAAAATTCACTGATGAAATGCAGATTAAAATTCACAAGTAAAAACTGATATTATGTATATTTTTAATGCATTTATGGGGGTTTACAGTGAGCTGTTTTTGAAACCAAGGTCGCATCTTTTGTTGTTCATTCGTTTTGTTGTATCCGACTCTTCGTGACCTCATGGACCAGCTCACACCAGAGCTTCCTGTCGGCCGTCACCTCCCCCAGCTCCTTTAAGGTCAATCCAGTCACTTCAAGGATGCCATCCATCCATCTTGCCCTTGGTTGGCCCCTCTTCCTTTTTCCTTCCATTTTCACCAGCATCATTGTCTTCTCTAAGCTTTCCTTTCTTCTCATGATGTGGCCAAAGTACTTCATCTACACTGCCATATAATGCATTCTACACTGACCGTATGATGAATGAGGCTACATTGAGTCTACAATGAGCCTACACTGACCATATGATGAATCTTCTAACTGCATTATATGCAAGTGTAGATGGGGCCAAATACTTTGATTGGTCACCTAGTTGTTCTGAAGATCTGAGTTCCTGTTCCTTAAATTTAATATCTATCTGTGCTATTTCCGTTCCATATGTTTAAGTTTGCCATTGTAAACCTATTTCCTACTAGGGAACCAACTCTTCTGAATACATGAAGAGGATTGCACTATACCACTCCGAGTCCCTTCGGGGAGAGAGGGTGGGTTATAAATAAAGTTTTATTATTTATTTATTTATTTACAGCATTTATATGCCGCCCTTCTCA